CACACCCACCTGGGACGCAGCCCATCAGTCCTCGGACAACGTCCAGAGCCACTGGCTTCTCGCAGCACCCATCGCTGTCCTCCTTCGCACTGGCATGCAGGCCAGGACACCCCACTGAGGACATCCTTCCCCAAACATGGCTGCATTTCAGAGACCTCCCTCTCTCGTTATCCAAAAAAGTATATATTAATATTTAATTGCCTCCAGGAACTATACAATGAATATTTGTATTTTTCCCCAAATGACTTTTAAATGAACCTTCGTTATGAAATTCTGCATTATCCCCATGTATTATTTTTCCTATAAGAAGAAAAACCCCGGTCTCTGGGTTGACTCTTGTTCCCCCTCTGTCACTCTGCAAGAAGTGGGAGGGAGATCTGCAATTGCAAACGGGAATCATCCCTTTTCTTTTTTCAGCCTTATCAAGCTTGGCAGCTTCCCTAGTTCCCCACAGCTGGGCTGCATGAGCTCCTGGGCTTCTTGCCGGTCCCTCGGCACACAGCCCTAGCCTTGATCTGGTTTCCTAAGGGAAAAGGGGCTGTCTGCCCCCCACCTCCAGAGCTTTCCAATCGACCACGCAATTTTCTGGAAACTTGAGGACAGGGCCCCGACAGCAAGCTTTGTGCAAACAGGCTGCTCTGAGCTTCCCCAGGGAAGGGGCGCTGCAGGGTGAGCACAGCCTCTCTGGGACACCAGAGAAGCCACCTGTGATGGGGGCAAGGGGGAACGAGTCCCGTCACCAGACCGGGGGGGCTTAAAGCCAGCAGAGGCAGCTGCTGGTCCCACTACTGAGCCAGGCAGGGGCTGACGGCTGAGAACCCACGAATTCCTGCCTGCTCCCCTGCACCGCTGTGGCCCCGGGGATACAAGCCAGCCAGCCAGACTCAAGCAAACACAGGGTTTGGTTCCAGTACAGCTCGAGTGGTTTTCTTTTAATCCCAGAGAAGTGAAATGCAACATTTGTTTGAGTTGGTAATAACATCCAGAGACAGAAGTCCAAGCCCCCTACTCAGTAGTCATTTGTGTTTAAGGCACTCTGCAAAACCAGCTTTCCTCTTCTTCCGACTTTCCCCACGCGGCAGCAGAATACCTGGTTTGGTCTTTTCTCCATAGTGATACCCACACATCCTGGCTCTTCTCACCATCTCCGGAAACTGGCAACAGCAAATCCAGTGGGAGCCAAATGGAGAAACGCCAGGAGGCTGGGTCAATAAATACAGACAGGTATGGGAGGGAGCACAGCGCCTGGGGAGGGGGCACGGGGGCTTTGAGCTTCTGCGGGAAGGGGACAGGCACCGGGTGTCCTCCCTGCAGGCACCAACGTGATTCCCTTTCCTTTCTCCCCGCCGGCTCCAAAAGGGGACGGGAGCGCGGAGGCCTGCAAGCATCCCTCCCCAGCAGCACTCCCGAACGTGCGGCAGCACCCCAAAATGCAGGGGGCTGGGCGGGGGCGGGGACGACCCAGCTGCCCCTGCCATGCAGCAGAAATGACCCCCTGACTTCCAGTCGTCAATAAATACCAATAAATAACTTAAATAAACCTTAAATAAATCAATAATAAATAAATAAATAAATAAATAAATGACCCGAGGACAGGGACAGAGGGGAAGGGGCAACCCGAGGCTCAGGGCAAGAGGGGAGCGTGCGGGTGGACGTTTCCATGACCTGCCCCTCCCTGAGATAATGGGGTGCTGGTACAAAAGAGGGGGTGGGGAAGGGGTTCCGCTTGGGGCACCCATCAGTACAGCTGTGGGCCACGGGGACGTGAGCTGAACCCAGACTCACACATGGGAGCTCTCACCCGCCGCCACCCTCTCTTCCTCCCTCTTACTGAGCATCGCAGGCCCTGCACCTGGGCTCCACCGGTCAGTGCTACCAAGCTCAGGGAGATGCTCACCCAGCACCTCCATCCGAGCGTGAACACACACCTTTTGCAAACATGCAAAATGCCTGCAAATTTTTGCAAACGTTGTTTGCAATTTTTTTTTTTGCAAACAATTTTTACAAACTTTTTTTTTTTTTAAATGGGGAAATGCCCATGAAGACAACCCACGCATCAAACCAAGTTAAGCGCATCAAATCCAGCCATTGGAGAAGGAGCGGGCACAGGAGCCCAGAGAGGGGAACACAGGCATGGCCCCAGGGCTCAGCCAGAGCCTGCCTGCAGGCTGGGGCAGCCCTGGGAGCGCAGGCACAACACAGCTGCGGCCAGGCACCAAGCTGGACACCAGCACCAGGCGGCACCGAGCACCTCCCTGGGGATGCTGCAGACACACATGGACAGAAGCAGCGGCCGCTGCTGTCTCGGTGTCATGCCGACGCAGCAGACGATGTGCCGAGGCTCCAGCTGGCCAGCACAACCCAAAAGACGGCAACAAATTCAACAGCATCCCTGCACCAGCTCCCCCAACCCCAGCCGGCTGGCACCACGGTGGTGCCACAGCAGCTCCCCAGGCTGACGGCTGGCATGCAACCCCCTGAGCACAGCCCTGGCCCTCCCCTGCGGGTTTTGGGGAGCTGACTCATGCAGCCTCTCTGGACGCAGCATCCTCTCCCAGCCAGGAGCCCACCTCGGGGCTACCCGTTTGTCGGGGAACCTCTTCCTCTGGCTTTTTAGCTCCAGTGCTGCCAGAGACGTTTCTGTCCCACTGGATCAAAAACATACATCTGCCTTATTTCAAACCGAAAGGTACTTACCCCTCCCTCTCCTCCCCCAAATCTTAAGGAAAACTGTATTTAAAGTTTCTAACTGCCTTCCACACGCCTTTTGAAAAATGAAACATCAGTGATGGCAAAAGCTGCCGTCGATCCTGTACCAGGACAAAACCATGGGCACAGTCTCACAAGAGCGGGACATCTTCCCACACCGGCAAGCTCCCAGTAGAAGCTTTGCTCCAGAAAACACAGCAAACCAAGCTCAGAGCCCCCTCTCCCTCCAAACCTCTCCCACCGCAAGGCCGTAGCCCCGGCGAAACCCAGATGTAGGCACCGAAAGCAGCAGGTTCCCAGCCTACCCAGGAGGCTGAGCGGGAGGAGACGGACCACCGGCCCCGGCACAGGGAAGCGTGCGTTGAGGCGTCAAAATGCAACACTCCCAAAAGAAAAATAAATAAAGAATCAAATCAGCAGCAAACACTACTGATAATAGTAAGTAGCACAGGGATTTCACAGGGATTTTTGGTCTAAGATGCCTGGGGAGCCCCTTCACTGGTGGGGACCGGGGTGCACATCCCGCCCTGGAAAAGCGCAAGCCGTGGCTGAAGCTTTGCAGGAGCTCAGCCGCACTGAGGAGCGATGCCGCGGGGATGTGCCGGCACACTGGGGGGAGCAAAGCAGCGCTGGGCTGGGCGTCCTGACAGCCAGGCTGAGGGCAGCACTGCTAATACTGCAGGAAAGGCTTTGCACGGAAGTGCCGAACACAGCGACCCTTCCTGGGCTCTCCTGGCAGCGGGACAGAAGATGAGACCCTCCCAGAAGGAATTATTCACATCCCCAGGGCAGCACAAACCTCCCATGGTGCAAAGGCAGGGGCAGGAGCCGGAGGAGCAACAGGGCTTGCGCCGGGGCAGCGAATGGAGCATAGAAAGCAGCAAAAGCCGTAATCATCTGCCTGGGGGCGATGGGGCACCTTAGGCATCGGCAGTGCAGACACAGCTTTCGCATCTGCTGCATCCCAAGGGTGAAATGTCGGGAATTGCAGGTCGCAGCCCATGGCACCAGCACCACCCCACGGACCAGACAATGCCAGCCATCCAGGCAGCGAGGGGCGAGGAGAAAGGCAAATAAAACCCCGTTACCCCCCAAGCACCTGCAGCAGCAGGAAGCAGCACCCAGGCAGTGTGCTTGTCTCCTCCTTCCCAGGCCAACCCAGGCCTGCCCCGTGCAGCCTCTGCTCACATCCCTGCCTCCGACCCATGTAGAGGAGACCCTCACCCCGCAGAGCCCGGGGAGTTACCGCAAGGCGTGCTGTCCCCTCCCCGCCAGCGCCGGTGTCCCCACCGGTACCTACCCTGCTCCCTGGGTGGCTGAGGAGGAGGAGGGTCTCCACGTAAGCTGGCATTTGCATGAAAAATGAGCAAGCACCCAACTTCCTGCAAGGGACTTGGATCTGCAGTGGAAGCATGCGAGTCCCAGGGTACCTCCAAGCTGGTTTGGGTACCCCATGGTCAGCATACGCCTGCTCACCCTGGGCTGGGTGAACAGGCTCCCAATTTCTCACTCGGCTGAGAATTGGTTTTGCTTCCATAAGAGAAGGGCCGGCGAGATTTGGCGGGGGGAAGGTTGAGGAACTGCAAAGATTTAGTGCACCTTAAAATGAAAGGACATCTAACCTGCCCTTAGATCTCACTCCAAGACGGAAAAGAGCTATGGCATCTCCTACACTCACAACTACTCCAAACACACCCAGACGCATGCAAAACATCCCGCTTCCTCTCGGCTGTGGAAAACCCCTCCCGGGCAGCAGCAATGGCCAGCACCGGGGTCCTGCTCCGCTCCCGGGCCCTCCCGCCCAGTCCCAGCGGGCAGGGCGAGGGGTCGATTATCGATCCAAAATGCATAGGTATAGACACCGCGGGGACACCCGCGCCCCGGCGGGAAGGGTCACCGCAGGAGCCCTCCGCGTCCAGCAGGCATGGTCTCCGCTTCTACCTCCAGTTGTGTGGAAAGCAGCATTTGCCACAGGCACGGTTCGATCGCACTCATGCTCCTTGCATTGCCCTGCAAGGAAAGATGAGTCGTTTAGGTCAGACAGCCTCTTTGCCAGCTGCAAGCCCCTAAGAAGTACTCGATTCTGCTTCCTGGGAAATCCTCCAGCTCAGCGATCCCTCTTTCACGCCCCCACGCCGGCCAGGCTCTCTTTCTGACTAAGGAGGAGCCGCGTTTCCAACCACAGCTACAAAGGCAGGAGAACCAAAGAGGTCTGCTTTGGCTCAGAAACCCTGTTCTTTTGCAGCAGGCTAGCAGCACCCAGCTCCTCACACACACGCCCCGGCACTGCTCTACTTGGGAGGTATCACGACTATAGGCTGGCCTCGCTTGGGTCTCCACATGAGGACTTGGGCATCGTTGGCGTTGGGTTTCACTAGTGCGTTTGGTGGGATGGGTTCCATCCTGCTGAGGATCCGGGGCTGCTCCTGCTGAGTCCTTCCCACCAGCCGTGCCCGCTGCCCCAGCAGCTGCATGGGATCAACCTCAATGTCCACTCGCATCCTCCACTTTATAGTCTGCAAGATGATCTTTTCCTTGGTGGTGGTGTTCATGGCCACCAGCCATGTGGTAAAGCTCTGGTCCCTTTTAATCCTGGTCAGCAGCGGCACGTTACTGTTGCTCACAGGGACAGCCCACGTCACGCTGGGGTAGAAATTGTCATTCATGCTCACCGAGAACCTGGAGATCTTGTTAGTGGGCCCGACCAGGGTCACAGTTTCTGTGGTGTTTCCGTACCAGGGGTAGCTCACGCCGTCCGAATCGCTGATGGCTTTTACTCTTCCTTCTCGCAGGTCGGGCAGCTCCCAGCTTGACCTAGCAAACGGGAAGAGAAAGGCCAGGTTAGTGGGGAAACGGCAGTGACAGCGCCCAGCGAGGGACAGGGACAGAGGGGCAGGGAGGCAAGCAGCTTAGGGACCCTCTCCCTGCCTGCAGCAAGCTCTCAGGGACCTCCTTCAAGAACAAATTCGGCTTCGGTTCCTTCACTGAGCCAGTCACGGCTAGCTGAAGCCTTTGTTCTGCCAGCAAAACACTATTTTAATTAACCTGCAATCAAACCAACTGGGCCAAAACTCATTGCTGGGTCTCTCTGGGGCCACTCTCTCCTTAATCAGCTCCTGTGCCAGAGGAGAACAGCCTTCCCCATCTGCCAGCTGCAGCACCACGACCACGGCACCAGCCAAGCCCATCAGCAGCCCCCTCCTGCGACAAAACTCTGCGATTTTTATGCCTCTAAATACAAGCGCCTGCACAGAGACACATACAATAATTAAACACCACAATTATGCCTGCCGCTGGTGCCACGAAATCCCTGCAATATGTCTGGGGGGGGAAATTCCGGCCCAAGTCTTGGCTGCCGACCATGTGAGCAACACTGTGTGGCTACGGCAAGGGAGACAGTCGCCACGTGGCAATTATGAGCGAAGAGCTTTGGTGAAACCTCCTGCTGAGTCCCAGCTCTGGCTTCAAACACATCTGGGCTGTGGAGCTGCCTGCAAGTGGCTGGGGACACCCGGCTGCCATCCCCCCAACAAGAGACGACTTCCACTCACTCCAGCATCCCCAAGTGCTCCAGTGCCACGTGCAAGCGAATCTGCCATGACACAAGGATGCGGGCAGGCAGCACAAGGACCCACTCCCCCCCTGGTGCCCACGCACACCGCCCTGCCTGCTGCCCCGTGTCAGCACCCCCGGGCACCGGCAGCAGGAGCCCGCTGGCGGGCTGCAGAACGGACCCCTCCAGCCATTTTCAGCCCCCTCTCACATCACCCCTTTCAACCGGCAGAGGACAGAGCCGAAAGCTTTGCCCCTCGGCGTCCCCCTGAGTCACCCGCACACTCGGCCTTGGGAAAAGTTGGTTTCCAGCAGCCATGTCTGCCAAGCACAGCAACGCTTCCCCCTTTTAACACAAGCCAAGGGGGCAACTCCCCCAGCACCGCCCGCGCTCACGACCCAGCCCCAGAAGAAATGCTACTCGACGGGGGACAGCGGCCTCAAAGCCCTCGAACGAGTGAGCTTCAGGCCACCTGGCTGGCGCAGGAGCCGGCTGTGGGACGAGAGGAGCGCGGGTGCTGCCCGGGCCGGGGCGGCTGCGGGGTCAGGTCTGAAGGGGGCAGGGACGGTGCCAGGAGCAGGCACTGGGGCCAAGGTGATGCCCGTGCGCGGCTGTGGGTGCAGACATGGGGTAGGGGTGCGACACC